TTCCTCCCCCCCCATAGCTAGCAATCCAAAAGAGTCCACTGGAGCCTGAGCAGTGGGTGTTGCCTTCTGACACACTTCCGGTGATGTCAGGGGGCGTGGCATATGCAAATAAGTTATGCTAATGAGCTCCTGCATCTCTTTTTCTACGAAATGACCCCTGACAAGGGGAGACAGGAGACACACTGTTGGTACAATTCTTTCCTTATTTCTTAACTGTTACTAGTTTAGAAAATTTTTATGCTGACTCGACATGAACCTGCCCAAGGTGGCTTGCAAAATAAAACATAAAACATTAAAAGACAGTCATGCAAATTTGAGAGTACAGCATCGTTTGCACAAGGAAAGCCACCCGTGGAACCGACAAAACATAAATTCTGTACAGAGAATAAGCAACAACAGAGACACACTTGGTTAGTTTGCCTGTTTACACTGAAAATATCTGAATGTATCTCAAGATTGGTTTGTTTGTTTTTAAAGGTGGAGGTGGAGAGATAACTGAGGAAGAAGAATGGTTACCCTGTGGCTGGAGACAGTTTCTGGAGGTTATAATGGAAGGAACGTACAGTCAGTCAGGGTGCAGAAACGGCCTGGCCTGTTTTTAAAGGCCATCAGAACTACAGCTAGACATTCTTTCTTTTTCTCTTGTTCCCCTTCCCTGCCCCATCTCCCTCTCTCTCTCCCCCACCCTTCCCTCAAGTTTATATATTAGAAAAGGAAAATTTGCCACTATGTGAGCTACAACCAAAAATCAGCCTGTGAGGCCTGGGTTCCAGATACCAACGAAGGGAGGCAGAACTCCCACCTGACGGCTTGAAGCAGGCTGAGAAGCCCAGCAATGGCTGTAAGTATCAAGCCAGCCACGTGGAAAGACAGGGGGTGGGGCAAACATGCACCTGAAGATGTGCGGTCATGGGCTGCCCTTTGGGGAATGCCAGTTAACTGAGCGTTGTGGATAATCATACAATCATACGGTAAAACAAACCTTTTACCGTATATACGATTTTAATCATCCCACACGATTCTACACGATTTAGGGATGCCAGCCTCCAGGTGGGACCTGGGGATCCTCAGGAATTATGGCTCATCTCCAAACTACCAAGATCAGTTCCCCTGGAGAAAATGGAGGCTTTGAAGAGTAGACTCTGTGGCATTGTACCATCCTGAGGTCCCTTTTCTCCCCAGGCTCCATCCCCAAATCTCCAGGAGTTTCCAAACCTGGATCTCGCAACCCAACCCCCCATCCCCCACTGGGGGCCACGGAGGATCTGCCAACTCTAACATGATATGCATGCCATTTTCACATTTTCTGTTTCTTTTTTAGGGTATTTTTGGGGTATTTTTCATATGTGCGCGCGCACCTGGACGTCATGGCGACCTCTGGTGACTGACTGCGTGTGCACCCGGAAGTCATGGTGACCTCTGGGCAACTGACCCCCTCCTGGGGGCCTGGAGGAGATTCAGAGAGAGGTGGCTGAATGAAGCCCACCTCCCGACTGCCGGTATTCCAAGGAGGTCTCCCAGCTATGTTCTTGCCAGAGTCGGCCCTGCTTAGCTTCCGAGATCTGATGAGATCGGGCTTGCCTGGGCGATCCAGGTCAGGGCACCATTTTCGCATTTTGTGAAAAGGGGATAATACATTTCATAAATAAAAATAAATGTTTTGCTTGAGGTAACGGTTATTTTCAAGCGAGCCTCCGGGAAGGAGCGGTATAAAAATCCAATATGTAATGTAATGTAAAAAAGAAGGCCGGATGGGTAAGAGAGAGGCAGAAAAAAAGAAGGAGGCAGCAAAAAGAGAGGGCCCTGCCGAAAGAAGCGATCTGGTGCTGGGAGGGTGCGGGAGCGCCCAGGAGTCACTCCGGGCCAGATCGGCAGGTGGGTGGCAGCACGGCACAAGGTGCTTGAGCTCTACGGAACCGGGTGTGTTGACATGGCAATGGGAGCCACTGGCAGGGATGCCGGCAGCAGGTGGCACCTCAGGGAACTGGCGAGGCTGTTAACGTTGCTAAGGGCGAGGTTGGAGAGCGCCAGGCAGCTCACAGCTGATCTGCGGGGAGGGAAGCTGAAGGCAGCTTTGTGAGCTGGGCCCGATAGACCCTTCAGCCCATTTAGGGCATGGATGTATACGGGCAAAAATCAAACATCCAGAAGATTCACAGCGATAAAACAGCAACACATTACTTTGAACCCTCAAAAGTGCTCTTTGGTCGGTTTAATAAAATTCCCCTACATGAAAGGGTTATGTTCATGCCCTTTAGAATCTGTGGATTCAATATACCATATTATTTTCGACTGTCAATTTCACTCAGCCTTACGCAAAGAATTGTTGTCATCTTTATTTCCTCTCAATTATAGTTATAATAAGGAAAAAGCTATTCAGTATCTTCTAAAGGATGCCAATCCTGATATCACAGCTATAGTGGCCCAGTTTCTTGCTGAAGCGGCCAAAGTTAGATCTATGCTCCTAAAGGAATGATTTATTTTGTTTGTTATGCTTTTAAATTTTCACGCTCTGTTATTGTATATCTATGTATTTTACTGTTATGCCATTAAAGGTATTTGACTTTGACATCACTTTGAACCTATTCACTCCACTGCAAAAGATACCTTAAAAAGAAGAAGGGTTTATCCCTTTTGGTCAGCACGCCCCTTGTCCTGGAGGGGGCCTTTTCTTCACAATGCTCCCTGGTGTTAAGCCACAATGTAGTTTTGGCTTCGACCAGAAAGCGGAAATTGAAATATTAATTCGGGGTGGTGGTGGGATTTGCCGAAGTAACTGTTTCTAACACTTTAATGCTCTTTAACGCTGTGGTCATTTCAGACCTCAGTACCTTTTTTGTGTATCTGCTATAAATGTACCATAAAACTATGGTTCTTAAGATACATTAAATATAAACTAAGAAACAAAGCCACCGGAACTTGTGATGGACCCTCGCATCGGATTACTACCGTGAGTTGTCCAAGTGTAGTAGATGAAGAAGAGCAGTTTTTATACCTTGCTTTTCTCTACCTTAAGGAGTCTCAAAGTGACTTATAATCGCCTTTCCCTTCCTCTCCCCACAACAGGCACCTTGTGAGCAATGCTCACTCTAAGTTGTGGAGTCTTGTGAGCAAAAATTCTACCTTGTGAGCTGCTGGCATTAAAGTTGTGAGCGGGCGATTTGGCCACTGCATAAACTAGTTTGCTCTGGAGCCCTCCTTCCTGAGCGAAGACAAAAATGGGTGAGCCAGAGGCTAAAAAACTGTGAGCTAACTCACTCTAACTCACCTTAGGGGGAACACTGCTTGTGAGGTGGGTGGGGCTGAGAGAGTTCCGAGAGAGCTGTGACTGGCCCAAGGTCACCCAGCAGGCTTCAGGTGGTGGAGGAGTGGGGATCAAACCCGGTTCTCCAGATTAAGGTCCTCCACTCCTAGCCATGACACCACACTCTCTGTGTAGGAGGTAGAGAGGGGGCTGCTGACTGAATCGCAGCCTTTGCCAGAGGTTGCCTCTTCTCTAACAATCTCGGCTAAACGCACTGTTGAGGGAGAGAAGTCACGCCTCAGCAGGAGGACCTTTCTGATTTCCGAAGCACTTCACACTGAGCTGAGCACAGCAGGCACTGAGGTGCGTGGCTTTAACGATGACAGCCCTCCTGCTTCAGAGTCTCGGGGGGGGGGGGAATGGCCCAAAGGCAGGGACCGCAGAGCTCTGCCAATTCGCAGAGGCTGGAAGCTGCCGCAAGATGTAAAAGGGTATTGCCTAGTCAACCAAAGATGGAAAGTGCTTGCCTGCCTTCTGCCGGCTGGAGAGGGAACTCTCCGTAGAGTGACGTCAAGCAAGATACTGGAGTATTTCAGTTTCACATTAGATTGCCTGCATACCATTCACAGAACGCAGCATTTTTGAATTTCCTCCTCTCAAAAGCAGCTTTAAGAAACGTGCATACTCGGTGCGAGGGACAAGAAGTCTGGCTTCCAGCGGTACACGCTCACAAGCACAGTCCTTCAAAACACTTCCTGTGGACGTGAGCTGGGCAAGAGAGCTTCACAGCACTCATCTGAAAGACGCACCCTTCCCCTGCACTCTCTTCAGATGGCTTAAAGCAGCAGGTTATTCAGCCCCGTAGCTAGGACATTTTTGATGGGGGGGGGCCAGCCTCGATGTACTTACGTCACTCTCAGAAGTGACGTATGCATTGGGGGGGGGGGTTTACGCTGGGTTTCCTTTGTCACTTCTCTTGCTCTCGAAGAGTAAGAAAAGTGGAAAGGGAAACCCAGGGTAGGCTGTTCTCTACGCCTCATGCGGGGGCAAGGCAAGCTAGTGGTGTCGCTCCTCTTACTCTCAAGGACCCCTGTGACTGTCCTCGCCCGCTGGCACCCGCTGCTGCGCTACCCCTTCCTTGGCAGCTGCACTGCTGGGGAAGGGAAAGCAGATGGTAAGCCACTCAAGACTCCTTCGGGTAATGAAGGGCTGCGGAGGGCACTGGCCCCGCTCGAGAGACTCAGCTGACCCCTCTGGTGCGTGGTGAGTTTCTGAATGTCCCTCCGTGTGTGTGGGGGGGGGGAGGCACCTGCACACACGACAAACTGCAGAACGTGACAATAATACGTAAAGGAAACCCCCTGACAATGGCAGTGACAATGGACAATGGCCGCTGCAGGGCAAGAGGCGGCGCCACCTGGTAGTCCCACAACCGCTCCCCCCTCCCCCCAAGCTTTCTCACAGCCTCATTCCTGCAGCTGCTCACCTCCTATGGACGGCCATCTGCCGATGCTGCTTCTCCGTCCTGGTGGTGATCTTGCCTTTCACGGAGCGAGCCAGGAAACTTTCCTCAATCCCCACCAGCTCCGCCACTCTTTTCATAGAGGCTGGCAGCTTTTCCCACAGGCAAAAGAACTGGTACCAGTCGATTTTGGCCCAGTCGTCATATACAGGAGTGACCTTACCAAAATAATAATAATAACAGCATATATTTTGAACTTCCCTGCTTTTTCAAACTAGAGGTTTTTCACACCTTGGGCCTTTCTGACGAGCGGGGAGGGGGTGTGGCTCAGTGGAAGAGCCTCCGCTTGGCATGCAGAAGGTCCCAGGTTCAATCCCCAGCCTCTCCAGTTAAAAGGACCAGACAGCAGGTGATGTGAAAGTCCCCTGGATGCTGAGCAACAGCTGCACATGCTCTCTGCTCAGCACTAACATCTGGAAAAGCTCCCAGTGAATGATTTCGGACAATGTAATGATGCTTCCGCAGCTGTCTGCTTCTTGGGCTCCCACTCAGTAGAGCACACAGTCCCCTACCAATTTTTCTTGTCTCTTCTGATTCGAGCTGGCTGTTCAGTGCTGCTTCTGTTTTGCTTTGCTATCTCTTGAATCCTTCCCATTTCCACTCTCCCTTTCCTCCAAGAGGTGGAGGACATCTCACTTGGGGTCTTATCCTGGCAATGCGGGTTTTGCTGAGAGATCACGACTTACTATCTAAAGATGCAGCAGAGACTAGAACGTTGGGTGTCCCATATTCAAAGCCAACACCCGGTCGAAATGTCAAGCACTTCGGATCTCATGTTTCTCTTCCCAACTTCTTTTGCCCATTTATTACATGCCCAGTGATTTCCAGAGACTTCATTACTCAATTGACAGTATAATCCTATGCAGTTACTCTGGCCCAAGCCCATTAAAACCAAGTGGGTTTAGACTGGAGTAACTCTGCAGAATTGCACTGTTAATCTCTTAATCCCCCACCTTCCTTCTCAACACATATGAAATCTTTTCAATATACCCAGCTTCTCTATACACTTGGCAAAAACAGGATAAGGATTAACACACTGCCAACAGGATTCATACTACATGTGGTTTACACAGTATAGGAGCAAAAGTTTTTCTGGTTTAATCCAGGTGTAAAAAACATACTTATTCAAGTAGTATACTAAGGGCTACTGGATTTCCCCTCCTTGAAGGGTCATAGAATCATAGAGTTGGAAGGGGCCATACAGACCATCTAGTCCAACCCCCTGCCCAGTGCAGGACCAGCCTAAAGCATCTTTGACAAATATTCATCCAGCCCCTTCTTGAAAGCTGCCAGTGAAGAGGAGCTTACCGCCTCCCTAGGCAGCTGATTCCACCTTTGCACCACTCTGACCGTGAAAAAGTTTTTCCTAATATCCAGCCGATACCTTTCTGCATGTAATTTAAACCCGTTGCTTCGGGTCCTGTCCTCTGCTGCCAACTGGAACAGCTCCTTGCCCTCCTCCAAATGACAGCCTTTCAAATATTTAAAGAGAGCAATCCTGTCCTCCCCTCAGTCTCCTTTTCTGCAAACTAAACATTCCCAAGGCCCTTAGCCTTTCCTCGTAGGGCTCAGTCTCCAGACCCCTGATCATCCTCGTCGCTCTCTTCTGCGCCCCCTCAATTTTGCCCACATCCTTTTTGAAGTAAGGCCTCCAGAACTCTTAGACATACAAGAGCTTACCAGGTAAAGACTGTGCAGATCGTTCTCTAAGACAAAGCTCTTCATCGCTCTCTGGAGATCAGCAAAGATTTCCAGTGCTGCGATTGGGGAAAAGGAAGAAAACAGGGTGGCAGACCCAAGATGCGTTGGACAGTAGATTTCTGTTGGGAAAGACGGAATGTTTTAACACCACAGGCAAACGTTTTAAAAAAGTTTTCATCTGAGAAGTGTGTTTGAAGAAGACACGCCTTTGATCTCTTCCAACCAGGAACCTGAGTGTCCTTGAAATGCCTTCCTCAAAACGAGACTAATTTCCAAACTCGGACAACTACAAACAGCACCTTTGCACATTAATCATATAAATCCCAGAAGTAGACTGCAGGCTTATTTCAGAGAGCATGCCAAATTAAATTGTGTGTGAACTTGCATGGACATTGGCATGCATACCCCGTAGTCACCTAGAGGAAACTGATCTTCTAGTTAAGGCACTTAAATTAAACCTCATGTTGTTTTCCTTTTTAAACACTTTACACAGTGGACACAAGGGGAAGCTTCTTATCCATGTACAGCTGGCGCCTCAGACATCAAGGTTGACCCAGTTCAGTGTTCCCTCTAAGCTGAGTTAGTGTGAGATAGCTCACAGTTTTATAGCCTCCGGCTCACACATTTTTTGTCTTAGCTCAAGAAGGATGGCTCCAGAGCAAACTAAGTTATGCAGTAGCCAAATCGCTCCCTCACAACTTTAATGCCAGTAGCTCACAAAGTAGAATTTTTGCTCACAAGACTCCACAGCTTAGAGGAAACATTGGTTCTGACGCCAAAGGACTTTACTGCAGTTTGCCTACAAGCTCAGTGAGAAGACAACCTGTCAAAGAGCTGCATTCAGCATCAGCATGGACGGCTGGCCGAGCTCATGTCTGTTGCTTCAAATTTAAATATTTAAAGAGAAAAAAATACCCAATCCAAATCAGCACGGACTTTTACCTTTGCCCGTGTCGGAGGTTAAAACCTGGATGAATTCATTCTTCAGCAGCCATTTCACACAAGCATCAATAGCCCCGTGACAGATTTCCCCCCGATCTCTCTCGCTGTCCGGCTGGTCGTCTTTCAGACTAGCACCGAGGAGGGTGCAGGAAGCGTACATCTGAATATCTTGTGGGGAGCTAGCTACTCCACCAACGATGATCTGTCAGAATAAGAACTGAATCAGTGTGTTTGTTAAAATGATGGAGATGAAAGAAATCAGGAGATCTGCACCCCATTCTACTCTTCCGGATTACACAAAGCCACTGGTAAAAATAATAATAATAAATGAGAACGTCATAAAAACAAACCAGATAAAAGAACCGTGTAAATATATGACAAAAAACTGAACCAACAGCGGGTTACCAGTTGAATAAAAAGAGATTATGTCTAAAAAAAGTTTTCAGAACTCCACAGTCCCAGAGTCTCCAAAATGCAATAATTAAAATTTGTAACCGGTGTCAAAGGCAAGATCTTCAAATCAAGAAGAGAAGGAGAAGAAGAAGAGATTGGATTTATACCCCGCCCTTCACTACCCAAAGGAGTCTCAGAGCGGCTTCCAAACTCCTTTCCCTTCTGCTTCCCACAACAGACACCCTGTGAGGTAGGTGGGGCTGAGAGAGCTCTTGACAGAAACTGCTCTTTTTCAAGAACAGTTCTGACAGAACTATGGCATGGCCCGGCCCAACAAGGTCAAAGAAACTAACAAAGAGAAAGTGTTACGTACCTCAAGGATTGCTCGTATCATGCTAGACGTAACCTCTTCTCCCTCCTGCTTGAGCAGACAGCTACAGACTGGCTTGAGGCAGCCCTGGAGCAGTGCAACCCCTTTCGTCTTCTCTGAAGGCTTGCACATCAGAATGCTTTCACCTGTGATCAAAGCACACTGTTTTCAACCTGGAGAGGGAAACATTCTGCCTCGATTTAATAAGCAGTGTATGCAAAGGCCATAATTTCATGAGCCCCGTTGCTCTGTTAACAATCAAACCAGTGTTAGAAGTCATCAAAAGGACCTGTTTGGCTAAGAGGCTACTTCAAGAAAGAGTATCTCTGCAACACACGTGGGTTAGCCGTGCTGAAAGCGGTTTTGCTTCCCACGCCTCTGCTGATGTTCTCCAAGATAAACAGCACAATACACTTGTTTTCATTGGCAAGTTTATTGTAGGTGGCAAAACCTAATGTAGATCTACCACTAGTTGGAGGCACTCTTTGGTCTAGAGCACGGATTTCCCACTATAGCTGGATCTTGAATTCATCATGCTCTGCCGAGAATCAGAGCTAGGATGTTGGGTGACTGATAAAGTGTTGTCAAAATATTCATGATGGCTCCTTTGGAAAAGGGCAGCCTGCTTTTAACTTTCTCATGGGGCTGTCTGATAGAAACAGCAGGGACAAGAGTCACTCATTCCCTGCAGGAGACAAAGTCACCTGTCAAGTTCGGGAGCAAACCCCCTCTGCTCAGCAATCTGCTCCAAAGAGTTTCTGCTTTCCCCTTTTAAACCTTTTCCTCTAGCTTTGCCTATCAGACACGTGCTTTCTGAATAGGAGCGCAGTAAGCACACAAGTTGATCCAGGGCTCAGGAATCAAACTGCCACTGAGACTGTTGAATCTCTGCTGTGGGGAGCAGAGGCCTCTCTTAGATCTGGTGGTTGGCTTCTGGGAGACTGGAGATTCTGCCATTAAAAGACACTTTTGGCAAGCGGTGTAATTCTTTCTGCCACAGAGCCAGTTTGGTGTCATGGTTAAGTGTACAGACTCTAATCTGGGAGAACCAGGGTTGATTCCCCACTCCTCCACTTGCACCTGGCTGGATGACCTTGGGCAAGCAGTAGTTCTTTCATTGGGGCAACAACAAACAGAGAATGCAGTTTTACCATTTAAAGCTCTTGATATCCTTTCAGCTTTTTGCCACTACTCAAAAACATGTACTAAAACTACGTGGTTATTATATTGTGTCAATTTGTGTAGATAACATCACAGGGAATGTATTTAATCTGAAATGCACATTGTGTCAAAAATTCTATTGCCTGAACCATTTGCTTATTATATATGGATCTGGATTACTTGAGGCCAACCTTTTTCATGTGACCAGTGTTGTGGCATACCTTCTATTCTCTTGGCCATTTTTTGACCCTTCAGGACCATTGTTCATGCCACAGTCTATGCATATATGTATATACCAAGTCTAATCTCACACAATGGCCAACCAGTTATACCAATATACCAACTATGCATATATGTATATACCAACATATGTACATATATTCATGCATTAGATGAAGTGAGACACAGCCCATGAGCCTTTATGCCACAGCAACCCTGTTAGTCTTAAAAGTGTTGCAGGATTTCTGTTATTTAAAATTCATACTACACTGTTTAGGCCTCTAACTGCACTCACCTGCGGTGTCTACGCCTTTCCTTCCGGCCCTCCCGGACATCTGCTTGTACGTTAGGACGTCCAGTGGCCTGCCACCGAACGTAGGAGTTCGGATAATTACCCGGCGTGCAGGCAGGTTCACCCCAGAAGAAAGCGTAGAAGTTGCGGCTAAGACTCGTAGCACTCCTTGACGAAACGCTACTTCAATGATGTCTCGTTCATCGAAAGTAAGACCTGAGATGAAATGAGAATTAAAATACAGCTTTCAGTACTGACAATGCCCATCAATGGCAGCACAGAAAGGAGACTGGTGAGATCGCACAAGATTTGGGTCTGAGCTGTGGGTTCATGTTCTGGACCAGCCAGGGATTTCCTTGATAAGTAGACAAATTTATATAATGAGAATCACAGCATTTGTGCCTACTTCATAACATTCTTGCCAGAAAATACAGAAGACAGTATTTTGTGAAAGCACATTAAAATGGCTGATAAATGAATAATAACGCAAGAGTTATTTTAAGAACCATAGAAGACACTTGCTGGATCTAACCAGCGGTCCATCTAGTCCAGCATCCTATCTCACACAATGGCCAACCAGTTCTTCTGGAGGGCCAACAACAGGGCACAGAAACCCTATTTTAAAGGCTCCAAACTAGTCACTGTTCTAGTGAAAGCAATTCTTTTTGTATACCATTTTGATCTCCGTTCCTAAAAGCTGTTTACCCAAGTTGTAGAAAAGAGCAAGAGTGCAGTAGAACCTTAAAGACTGACACAATTTGTGGCAGGGTACGAGCTTTTGTGAGTCACGGCTCACTTCTTCAGATATAAGTTATTTGGCTAAATTTTCTTGCCACTGGATTGGACTCCATCCATTGGAATGCCAGGCTGACTGCGTGCACTGTCTTCACTGGGACGTACCCCGTCTGAGGCGATATAAACATTCCCCTTCTGTTGTGCTTGGTTCACAACAGCTGTTTGTCACTAGATTTGATGCTATTCCATCAGGGGAGCTATTGGGATGCTTAAATAAGGTGCCTTACTCTGAGTGACTCTGCTGATGTGGTTCTGGCCAAACAGACACCCGTCAACACTGTCTGTTCGACTGCGATTTGCTCAACGATGCAAGAGATCGTTGGATAAAACCCTATATCCAGGACTCTAGGTGTGAACTGGATAATTTGAGGGTTTTTTTCGTGGGGTAGATTTTTGCAGAGCCAGTTTGGTGTAGTGGTTAGGTGCACGGACTCTAATCCGGGAGAACTGGGTTTGATCCCCTGCTCCTCCACTTGCACCTGCTGGATGACCTTGGGCAAGCCATAGTTCTGATAAGCTGTTTTTGAAAAAGAGCAGTTTCTGTCAGAGCTCCCTCTGTGGCCTACCTCACAGGGTATCTGTTGTGGGGAAGGGAAGGGAAAGGAAAGGAGTTTGTAAGGTGCTCTGAGACTCCTTTGGGTAGTGAAGGGTGGAGTATAAATCCAATCTCTTCTCTTCTTCTTTAAGATTACATTGGCAGTTGCCAAGTTCTTTTCTCTGTCGATTAAGATTAAAAATAATGAAATTTTATATTATATAGACACATGGAGTAATTTCATTTTTTTCTTTTTTTTAGTCTTCGTGTGACACTGTTCAGAGCTGACTTGGCTGTAACAGCAGTATCATTAAAGAAGGATGAACATGTATGTGTGTGTGGGGGGGCAATTTTCCCCAAGAGTCGTAGCAGGCTGCAGAAATGGGTGGGCATAAACGTAACACTACCACACGCTGACCAAAACATACCTGCATGATGGAAAGCAACTCCCCATTTTATAGTCCGCTGAAGGACAGAGTCCAGACCAGAAGGAGACCGCTTCAGCTGGCCCATCAACTGCTCTATCCCTTGAGTGTCCAGGGCAACTGGTGACAGACTGGAAGTTTTCTGAAGGCCTTTAAATGGGAAGGAAAGAAAAAGATCTGTCCATCATTGTTACAGAGCTTTTCCCAAAGCACCTTCCTCTCCCTGTCCCCTTCCTCTGACTGACCTTCCCGCTGGATGCTGCAGAACTCCCTGGCGACGATGTCGGCCAACTTCTCACACCAGTTCTTCGATGGGCAGAAGACAAGGACGGAATGGCCATCCTGGACTGTCTCATAACACAGACTCACCACGTGGTCCTCATCTCCCTAAAGCGAAGCAGACAATTGCTTTATTAACAAGCGTGTTTCATGGGACCCACTCTTGGAAGGCTGAGCTTGGCCCTCTGGGTGGCTTCACAACGGCTAGGAATAGCACCTTGAGAAGGACAGAGGAACTTGCTGAACATTATCCCAGATGGATATGATCAAAAAGATATTTATTTGTTAACTTACATTCTCACGGCAGCCAGAATTCTAATAGCTAAGCACTGGAAGTCTGAAAATATACCTTTAAGAGATGAACTGGCAGAAAAACTGTATGAAATTGCAGAAATGGACAAGCTTAACACTATCTTACAAGGGAAAGTTGATTTAATTTTTCAAAATAGATGGTCTAGAGTATATAAGTGGTTTCGAAAGAAAATGTAATGTACATTCCAATGAATTAAACACTCCAAGTCTTGTAATCCTTGTGTGTTGTAAATGTGTAAAATTTATAAATAAATATTATAAAGAAAAAGAGAGAGGAGGACAGAGGAAATGCACCCAGGATAAAAAGATGACAACGAGCGCTGTTCGACCAAGAACTGACACGCACGTGCTGGAGAAGCCAAAAGCTCTCGAGTTCCAGGCCAACCCTGCTGGCTAGGAAGCTGGAGTGAGAAGAGTTCATGCACCCCAAAGGCATTATTTCTATTTGAGTGTTCCTGCCCTTGCCTGCTGGAAGTGGATCAACACATTCCAGACCGCCCTGACACCCTGAAGGAGAAATTAATTGTTAAGTCACTGAAGGTTACTTGAGATGTACCTTTACATGAAATGAAGCAAACACATCTGTTGGCTCCATCCGTGTGGGTGGTGAAAACAAAGAGGAATCACAACAAATGAATGAATGAATGGCATTTATTGTTGTCATTGCTCTTTGCAGGGCAAGAGTACTCATTCACTTGTTGCTATCCCTCCTGCTCTTCTCCTCCACCCTCAAACAGTACCTACTGTCCCCCAGCTCCAGGCAGTGGCCACCGAGGAGGCAGCGGGCCAGCCTAGAGCTCCTCACCCCCAGACTCTCTGCCTCTTTCTCCTGCCTTGGATGTTCTTTCTGCAGCATCCAAGGCACCATGCCTCAGTACAACATGGGCAATGCATAGCCCCTGGTGCACGCCTGTTATCAGACACAGCCTGAAGACTACATTTCCCAGGATGCACAGGCATGCTAGAAAGAAGCGGCATCAACATAGTACAAAACAAGCCATTAAGAACATATCAGGGGCATACAATCAGCATAACACAGCCACCGAGCACCCTAAAAATATCCCTAAAACAGATCGCAGACTAGAAGCCGACCAACAAACAGCTAAAAAGATCTTTACCTTTTCAAAATCTAGGTAAAAATAAGTGTTTTGGCCTGGTGCCTGAAAGGTATGGTAGGTGCAAGGTGAACCACAAGGTGGAGGGCATTCCAGAAGCAAGGTGCCACCACTGAAAACGTCCTGTCTCTTGCTGCCACCTGCCTCATCACTGGAGGCAGGGTCACAGAGACCAGGGGCTTCATAGGCAAATCTTAAAAAATAACGGGCTGGAAAGTACTGGAGGAGACAGAACAGAACTGAGTTTAAATAGATGAGTCAGCTGCTATCATATCTAGTCTGGCCAACACCGGCGCCCCTGTAGAAATAAATTCCACATTCATTTGTTGGGACACCTGAAACAGTCACAAGGTTTCATTCTAGCATAACCTCTGGTGGACTACAGCCTGCTTCGTCAGAAGCAACACCAAAACAAACACACCACTTTATTCCAATCACAGCATGTGGGTTCTGTGTTGTCATTTAGAATACAAAACTCTGGCATAGTGCCAGCATGGGGCTGGGGCTGGAGGGAGCGGGTTCAAATCCCTTCTGAGCAGTGAAGCCAACGTGGGCCCATTACCCTAGCAAGCAAACCTACACTAAGCTTTGTTGTGGAACAAATAATGGGAAAATCCCATGGAAACGTCACTAAGCACATGAAAAAAAGATGGGATAAACTTTAAACATTAGGGTTAAATATAATGCTTTCCTTTCAGTTTTTGCTTCTGAATGTTCATTCTTTAAAAATCCCCCGCCCTTGTATTTTTAATTTCCCTGTTTTGCATTGTCTCCCTCTTCCTCCCTGTCCTCTGTTGCCTCTCTTCACTGCCAAATTTCAGGTTGCAAGTTCTCATGGCATGGAGCCTGTCTTTGTGCTGTAATTCTGTAATGTACTGCACAACTCCAGAATTATTGGGGGGGGGGGTTTATTCTATACCTCCAATTACATTAAATTTGATGGATAAATATCTGCCTTTTATATCAGCATGAACAATTTTTCTTACAATTTTTTTACATTTTTCATTCCACTATGACCCTTATGCTTTTCTCTCTCACTTTCTTTCCCAGTTACAGAGTTACAGAGTTCCACTAGTGAAGGCTTAAAAGCCTTGCTTCTCCTCCACTCCATCTACTAAAATTATTCACATCAGAATAATGCTGGACTAAGGGCTGTGGTGGCTCAAGTGGTTAAGACGCTGAACTGCAGACTGGAAGGTCAGTAGTGCAGTTCGAGACCCGAGTGTGCTGCATGACGGAGTGAGCTCCCGTCTCTGGCCCTGGCTCCTGCCAACCTAGCAGTTCGAAAGCAAGAAATTGCAAGTTGATATATAGGTACCACTTTGGTGGGAAGGTAACAGCGTTCCGTGTGCCTCGGCATCTAGTCATGCCGGCCACATGACCATGGAAACGCCTTTGGACAGCGTTGGCTCTTCGGCTTGGAAATGGAGATGAGCACTGCATCCCTAGAGTCGGATTTGACTGGCTTTTGAGCAAGGGAAACCTTTATCTAATACTGGACTATCAGTGTCTTGCTTGAAACCCAGGTTAGCCAGGAACATCCAACACCAGCCACACCTTTCAAACCCATTATTCTGAACTCATGGAAGCAACACTGCAATCTGATTTGTTTTAAACCTGCCATTTCCAAAAATCAGAAGAAATGATAATTTTAGAAACTCAGATCCTGCAAAAGGACTGGATTCAGAATGGGGAGATGGGAAAAAACTGCTCGTCTGCCTACCCTGCATTACTACGCCTGATTCAAACAAAGCATTGTAGGTCCCAACAAACAGGCTTTTGGGGACATATTCTAGAACCACCCTACTGATTTTTAGCATAAAGTGGGGGTGGTATATTAATCGCATTCATCTTCATCCATCATTTGTTTATATGCCATACTTATGGGTGTAGTACTTTGGCTTCAGTTAGTTTAATTGGTGATGGGGTTGGGCTGGAAATCTTCCCGTTTTCCTACAGAGGAATGGGAGAAAGGAATGCTGGAGTTTTAGAACGTGAGAACCTGAAATTTGTATTTGAATTGGCAGAAACTTATATATTTAAGCCACATACCCCCCAATTGAATTATTTCCATTTGTCTGAAATGCTCTCTCTTTATATGACTTCCCCCTCTCCTCCCTTCTTCCACATTCTTTCCTACCCATTTCTTCCTAACTACTGCAGAAGGATATGGATTGGGAAGGTTATGACAAGATATTGTTTTGTTCTTGCTTATATTGTGTACATTTCCAAAACTCAAAAGCAATAAGAATTTGCCAGTAAATGTTTACCTATTTCACTTGGTCCCAATGAGGACACAAAATGGCTTACATTTGTCAGGTAGCCCTGTCATAGATCTGGAATGTGGAGGGGTAACACCTCCTCTTTGTTCTCAGCTCATCCCTGTCCAGCTTCTGTGTGCTATCTCTAAGCTTGACCTTGTTGTTGTTCCCAGCTGCAATTAACTCGGCTGGGAAAGCTAACGGCTTTTTGCACTCGCTTGCCGCTTCAGCCCGCATGCGCAAACTGTAACCATTGGCTTCAGCTCATGGGGGGGGGACATACTATAAGTCAGAGGCCATTATACTGTCGGTCATTCCTGACACAAGCTGCATACCTGTTCTTTAGTATTGGACTACAAATAAACACTTATCTTATAAAGAAGCCTTGTGTGGTGTACATTGACTAAGGAGCCTGACAACAGTGTTCTCCTTTTCTCCATTTTCCTTCAGCCTGTGAAATAGGTTAAACTGAAAGTGTATGATTGGCCCAAGGCCACCCAGCAAGCTTCCATGACAAAGTGAAGGTTCAAACCTGGATATCCCAGCCCTGACCTGGATAGCCCAAGCAAGCCCAGTCTCGTTAGATCTCGGAAGCTAAGCAGGGCTGACCCTGGCAAGTATTTGGATGGGAGACCTCCTTGGAAAACCAGAGGCTGGAGGCGGAGGCGGGCTACCAAGCCAGTTCTCTGAATGTGCTCCAGGCCCCTAGTAGGAGTTGCCAGAGGTCACCATGACATCCAGGCATGGGGCACACACACACACAGTGCAAAAATACAACAAAACAACAACAACAACATGGATTGCTTTAGTCACCATACCACATTAGCTCATCTAAAACATGAAATGTCTGTTGAAACACTTAAGAGTTTAATCTTAAATTTATACAGAAAATCAGTAATATCTTAAGAGCTGATAGTGCTATACTGAATTACCTTCACATATGGTAGGGGCTGGATTTCTCTCACTGCTTTCATTGACGAGTCATAAACTTTGCTGCCCATTTTCAGTTGCTCCACAAGCGGCACGGGGCGGAAATCTGTGTGGTACAGATCAGCGTTTAGCCAGGATGCCAGGAAATCCAGGTTAGGAAGGGTGGCACTCATGCCGACAATTTGTATCCCGTCCGAAAGCAGCCTGTTCGTTTGTCTGTAAGGAAAAACACGGACGCAACATGTGAATTGTGACCAACACCAATTAAGCTGTCCCACGGTATATTCAAATGGTGGAACTTGTGGCCATACTAGATTATAGTGGTGGGTGTTGGTTTAAATGACTTTGAATCAGACAAACACAGAGAGGCTTGGCCTACCGATGGCTATTGATTCTGGAAACATGGTGGGGAAGGTAACTGCCTTGTGCTGCCAGATGTATCTGGCTGGTTGGCTAGCACCACTGTTGGAGTCATGGCACTGGGCTAGATAGATCCTTTCCCTGGTATGACTAAAGCCCCCCTTATGCAAAAGTAAGAGTAGTTTCTTATCACTTAGGTGCGAAAGCTGCTTTCTGCTGTATAGCAAGTAATACTCCAGCATCCACATCTTAGTTCTTTTAAAAGAAACACACAGCTGAGGAACATGAATCCCTTGCCTTTTTAGACAGAGGCAGGAGAAGCTGTGAAAAGGAGGCTAAGATGGCAGTGCATGGCGAGATCACAGCCAGCAGATATTGCTGGAAAGCAGAGTTAGGGTGTCGGGCCTGTGACGTATATTTGGGTACCAGCCAGACCCACAATCACATGTTGGAGACAGCAGTCCACACCAGTAACCAAATCAACAAGATAAATGCTCCTTTTTACAAGGCACTCTATGCTGACTTGCTTTCTCAGGAGTTAAACCTACTAAGGGTTTGTCACATGGGTTTGTGTGGCTGAACTGCAGAACTGGCCCTTCATGAAAAAAACATGCAGCTAAGGGCCAGGTTGCATGCAGAGGAAGGGAGGCTTGGTTCAGGGAAAGTTCTCTGCACTAAAAGGACTCCCTTAAACATTTTAACCAGAAGTCAACCACCACCACCACCCTGCAGTTTTCAAATTCAGTTATGTTTGCTTTTCAAAAAAAGAGCAGAAAGACCTTTTCATCTACTCACTTGTTTTTCATCCGCTCCGTCAAAAAACGAACTTTTGTCAGCAGGAGTTCCAGCAAATACCCTCTCTGAGAATCTCCCAGCATGTGCAACTCGTCCACAACTACGATGCCTGGTGAAGAAAGGATTTTCAAATACTTTTATCAGTGTTCCGTACAACATTATCGTCACACCTTCCTTTGGAAAAGCCCCTATCTTAACCAAGGCTGACGACAGGCATTTGAAGAACAGAACAGTTAGCAGTTGACACTTAAATGCTCTGTAGCAGGGGTGTCAAACATGCGGCCCGGGGGCCAGATCAACCCCCAGAGGGCTTCCATCAGGCCCACAGTGGAACTGGCCATCTCCTGCTTCCAGTTCTGCTGCTGCATAATAGCTTGCTTCGCCAGACTCTCTTAATCACTCAATCAATCAGAGTTTATTGAACAGCTTTTGCCAGCTTATAATACAGAGAATAAAACTAAGAACGCAAAATAAAAATGAGTTAAAAAGGTGTCATATAAAATAAAATCTTGCTTGAGTTAGGATATATGATTTCATCTTCTCTCTACGTATTGCAAAACAGGCTGCCGAAAACCTAGCCGCAGCCTGGGAAACCTCTGAATCCACGTCCGTGAGGATGAAATGTTGAATCCAATTAATCACTCAGCCATTTCATGTTTTAACCTGGGTCCTAGACTCAGAACTCTGAGCATGAGATTTCTGTGGTGAATGTCAATAAATCAAAAGTAGGTCTGCAGCTTACAGATACACACCTGAACAGCGTACTCAGGATTGCCACAGCACAGACATTTTGTTGCAATAATTCAGAGCAAGAGGTGTCAGTTATCAGACACTGTTAAATAAGCAAAATATTGCAAGAGTGCTAATGTTTTAAGCATGTTTTTATTTTAAGTAAAAAAAAATGTGTTTGTGTCCTTTATAAAGTTTATATCTCCGCTACCTGGCATTACATTTTACGACACACGTGGCCCGGCCTGACAAGGTCTCATTTATGTCAGATCCGGCCCTCATGACAAATGAGTTCGACGCCCCTGCTCTGTAGGGAAGAAAAGCTGCTGAAGTTTCATCATGTTTATATGATGTTCAAATACCAGATGGAGGGGCCTGGCTATAACACACTCAATGGCAAACCGCGTGCTAAAGTTCCCTGTTGGTTTCCTTGCATCTCCGGCTTTAAAAAACAACAGCCAGGAAGCCAGGGGAACCCTTTTCTGCCGGCAGCCTTGCAGAGATGGCACCTTGGGAGCTACTATGCTTCTAGACAGACTAATGTAAAGGCCCCCAACATCATGCAGTGTTTTTGTCTTAGCTCATCATGCACGCGTTTTTGTCTTAGCTCAGGAAGGAGGGCTCCAGGGCAAACTCATTTATGCAGCAGCCCAATTGCTCGCTCACAACTTTAATGCCAGTAGGCTCACGCAGTAGAATTTTTGCTCACAAGACTCCACAGCTTAGAGGGAGCACTGCTGCCAAGGGTATTTAGAAAGTGACCACAGCCAGACGTGGCTTCTGCCCAGCGGGGCTTCCGATTGGCTACAGGGGATCCGATTGGCTGTGCAGATTTTTTACGGAAATCACTTCGCCGGCGTTTGCCACCACAGCACAAGTTCACTGTGTGACTGAAGGCACACATGAGAAGGCTTTTAAAACGGTAAGTTCATCTTAAAAGGCATCCTGTTACATGGAGCTTCTGCCCGAAATGCTGAAGAATCACTCTTAAGAATTACGCGTAGCCTCACTTCCCTGCCAGTTTACCAACTGCTTTCATCCAGTCTTAGCTGTACTTCTTGCTCAGCTACTTATGCATCTTGACTCTAATGAGCCCTTTCTGGCAACTAACCTCCCCCACCTATATGTAATGGTTGGCGAAGTCTGTTTCAATGTATCCGAGGAAGTGTGCCTGCACACAAAAGCTGACACCCAGAATTCAACTTGGTTGGTCTTAAAGGTGCCACTGGACTCAAACTTTGTTCTGCTGCTTCAGACCAACACAGCTGCCCACCTGGATCTCCCTGCCCTTTTGTGACTGGTTCTACCTCCTGCTACACACATTTTCTACATGGTATAGGGCAGGAGTGTCGAACTCATTTGTTATGAGTGCTGGATCTGAAACAAATGAGACCTTATTGGGCCGGGCCATGTGTGTCATAAAATGTAATGCCAGGTAAGGTAAAGGTAAAGGTTCCCTTGCTCAAAAGCCAGTCGAATCCGACTCTAGGGTTGCGGTGCTCATCTCCGTTTCAAAGCCAAAGAGCCAGCGCTGTCCAAAGACGTTTCCGTGGTCATGTGGCTGGCATGACTAAACACCAAGGCGCACGGAACACTGTTACCTTCCCACTGAATTGGTACCTATTTATCTACTTGCAATTTCTTGCTTTCGAACTGCTAGGTTGGCAGGAGCTGGAACTAGAGACGGGAGCTCACTCCGTCATGCGGCACACTCGGGTTTCGAACTGCTGAACTACCGACCTTCCACAGCCTGCAGTTCAGCATCTTAACCACTTGAGCCACCGCAGCTCCTACCAATGCCAGGTAGCGGAGGTATAAACTTTATAAAGGACACAAACACAAAGGGTTTTTTAAAACTTAAAATAAAAGCATAGTTAAAACATTTGCACTCTTGCAATATTTTGTTTATTTAACAGTGTCTGATAACTGACACCTCTTGCTCTGAATTATTGCATCAAAATGTCTGTGCTGTTGCAATCTTATGCTGTTTAGGTGTGTATCTGTAAGCTGCAGACGATGACACAGCAGCAGCAGAACTGGAAGAAGTAGCAGAAGACAGCCAGTTCCACTGCGAGCCTGATAGAAGCCCTCCAGGGGCCTCATCCAGCCCCCGGGCTGCATGTTCGACACCCCTGGTCTAGGGCTACCCCTGTTTTTCTGACGACTCTTTGTCCTTTACAGCTCTTGAACCACGCAGGATAAGCATGCTCCTTCCTTAGATGTCCTTGTATGGGTTTGCATGCAGCAGCCATTTTATAATGGGTGACACTTATGTAGAGAAGAACGTGTGTGCAGCGTCTTAGCTGTAAGCCCCATTTCATTCAGCTGGACTTGTCCACACAATGCATCAAACTGCAAGCGCTGTAAATCCATTTCAAGAAAAAGGCAGAGTTCTGACATAACCCTTCTGTGCTTTTCACTGAGAACTGATGTAATATTGCTACTGTTCCTTATAGGGATGTTTAGACAGATTTTCATTACAATTACAGTAAAAGCTGTCGTCCAGTCTCAAACGGATGGATGACAGTCCCAGAATTGCCCAGGTGGGAAAATATGTACTGGGCTGGGACAAGTGTACTCCGAAGTGCTACTCTATCTTTGTAAAGTTAACTGTTGCACTGGTCTTGGCTCCTGGGGACAATTCATACTATAAGAAGTCAGTGGAATATGATGCACATATCTATTGTGTAGGAGAGAGCAGGTGAATAGTCCCTCTTTCCCCTCACTCCAACTGTTCTAACCTCTTACCCAGTAAGTCCATCATGTTCTCTTCTATCAGCCTGTTGATCAGACTGTTGGCTCTCTCGATAGTACAGACAGCAACATCCAAGGCAGAGAAACCGACAGCTGGGGAAATGTTGCCTACGTAGCCTTCCACTTGCACACCAGCTTCTTGGAAGAGAGCCTGCTCACCAGAGACATAATATATTATTGTTTCATAGGTTTAGTGTGTACTTTCACACAGCACACGAGAAGGACACACTGAAACAGCTTAGGACACATCAGTAGGCCAGCCTCTTTTTCTGGGATGACCAAGAATTGCCTGCTGGGCAGCCTGCTGTGAGGCTTTGCTGAAGTTTGTTCATCACCTCCTTTAGGCTAGAAGTTGCCAGCATAGCCATGTGGACTAGAAACTGTTGCATCCTTAGCTGCAAGACTGAAATAATGCACATTCATTTCTTGGAATATCTTCTCCAGAGCCACTTCACACACTCTTATCACCTGGCACCAATTTTTCATGTGTTTCTCCACTCTGGTTTTTTTTTAAAAAATAACATTTTATTAATAAAGGCAAAAAGAAAAATAACAATTAACAAAACAGGTAAGTTGGAGTATACAGGAAAAGAGTGCTAGAGTTGCTAAAAAGAGTATTACATTTTCAAAGTTACAGTATCAGGTTACATTTTTCAAATCAAGGAGACATTCACATCTTACCATAAATTTAAGTCGTTAACCATAGTAGGGATTTCACCCTGATCAATTAAATATTTCACAATAGGGAACCAAATCATAGTGTGATCTAAAGAAGGTTTGTATACATCTCTTTCATCTACATTTTCCGTTATTTTTGACATTATATAGAACTTCCAAAGTTTAGCATGCCAATGATGTTGTTGAGGACTTTTAGTGTCTTTCCAAAATAAGGCTACTGCATTTTTGGCTGCTGCTCCACTCTGGGTTTCCATAAGAACGTAAGAGAAGCCAATGTTGGATCAAGCCAATGGCCCATCTAGTCCAACACTCTGTCACACAGTGGCCAAAAATACCAGGGGCCATCAGGAGGTCCATCCTATGGACCTACTTCACTGTTTATGGCTTTTGAGTTCCAGACCTCAAGCATCGCCTTGGAGCTATCGCAGCTGGGCCACTACCAAGAAGACTGCTCAAGGTTCTTCTGGGCAGTGAAGATGCGGCAATCCCATCTGTAATCTGCAGTACCACTGGAGGTTGTTAGGCTGAGAGTGTCTTGCCATGCAGCAAGCTACGCAGCCAGGTGCCAAAGCTTGCAGGCATCTCAGAAGAGGATCGCTGCAGTACCCCAAAGGGTAAGAGGACATAGCCACACTTATCTTCCTAGACAGTGCAGCTAATTCCCAACCATTACGCGAGATGGCTTTTTAAAATGCATATTAGAAATGTCAACTTGTGACCATCTAGGCCATAAACCATAATTATCTCCAGGGGTCATTTCGTAGAAAAAGAGGTGCAGGAGCTCATTAGCATAACTCATTAGCATAGCTTATTTGCATATGCCACACGCCCTGACATCACCCACCACTCAGGCTCCACTGGACTGTTTCGGACTGCTAGCTATTGGGGGGGGGCCGCAATCTGGTCTCACAGATGAGGGAGAGCTTGTACCTGAAGGCGGGCCGGGGGGGGGGGGCTCTGCAACTTACCTGGCTGCTTCTTGCTCCTCGTGGCCTGACTTGAGGGCTGCTGGGAGAAGGGGCAGGGCTTGTTGCATGTGCCCACCCCCTGGGCTCCTTACTGCTGGAGCTCCGCTCCTGTGCGCTCCCGCAGGAAATGACCCAATTATCTCTAATCTACGTTATAATTTATATGGCTCGAACATAAAAGGCTCCCCTTCTGATAAGGTACATGATTGAAACATGTGCCACCATGTGTGGAAATACCCATTGCTTATCTTACTTCACTTTTCACCTTCTGACCTCTCTCATCATCCATTATGTGTTAATAACATGAAGAACCACACCTCATTTACGCTACCAGGCCTCTTTTTGCTTAAGTCCTCCTGCCCCCTGCCTGCGTAATTGTCTGCGTAAAAGTTAGGGAAATTATTTTCTTTCTTTCATTGCATCTGAGGAAGTGAGCTCTGACTCCCAGAAGCTGGAATAAAAGCTGATGGTCTTCAAGGTGCCGCTGGACTCCTGACGTACTTTAGTGGACTAGACTATACTCAAAGAAGCCCTCAAAGCTCCCACCTCCACAGAGTTAGTCTTATGGTTTATGGTTTAAATCATTGCCTATTAGTCCTTAAATTAGGACTCGCAGGTCACAGTACTCAAAAAACAAGACAGCCATTGAGTCCGCCACGTTACTGTGGGAAAAGAGGCCTTCACATGAGCTGGCTCAATACTGCCTCGTAAAACTTCAGGGAGGAATAAAATTCTGCAAAGACAGTTTTTGCAGCTAGTCTAACTCTCTGTTGTTACTGTCCTACAGTGCAGTCCTAAGAAAAGCGACTCCAGTCTAAGCCCACCGATTTCAATGGGTTTAGAATGGAATACATCTACTTAGGATTGCACTGGTAGTGCTGTACACAAATTGGGTTGGATCTTACCATTGCGCAAATGGAAGTTGCTTGTGCAAGAGGACCTTCCCCACCTTCCCCTTCTCACAGCAGACACTCCTTGCTCCATTGTGCTCGGTTCCCTCTAACAAATGCAACTCCTCTCCTGCTGTGCATTACATCAGCAAGGATCCCCCGTCCCACAATACAGGATTTCCAGAGTGCACGACGAGGGTGCTATGGAGAAAACGGGAAGTTGAGACACCCTTCTTCTGCAACTGGCGCAACTAGACAATCTAACCCTTTCCAAAATGGTAGAAAAGGGAGCCCATTTTGTTCTCGCAACAATGCTGTGAGGTAGATTAGTCTGATATCATGCACATGGTTAAAAAAAGATGTGATTCGATCTGACTCCTGAGCTACAGCTCTTGTTTTGTTCACTAATGGCCTCACCTGCAGGTAAAACTTCTTCTCTTTGGCCACGGAGACAAAGGGTAGGATGAACAGAGCCTTTTTGCGGGTTTCTAGCACTCTCTTCAGGATGAGTAATTCAGCAACCAGAGTTTTCCCAGCACTTGTAGGAGCTGAAAGTAATGGTGAGAAAATCTTTTAATTTGGAGGAGAAAGATTCAGCAGCTGGAAGCAAACCTAGAACTTTTTAAATTAAGAAAAAATTAAAAATATATTTTACAGACTTCACAATACTTCATTAATCCTTATTCCAATATTCCATTATTTCTACAGTAAAAAGAGTTGCCTATATCAAAAAAGAAGATCTCAGAAGTATTTTGGCGAATGCTTTGGCACCACTGACTGGCAATGAAGCGGAAAAATTGAGCGACGAGATGGATGTGGCGTATAGAGCCTATTCCAACTTTACAAAGAAAAATAATTTGCCGGCGGAAGTGGTGGTCAAGTTTACCAAGCAAAGGACCAGAGATCAAATTTTAAGTACATCATCATCAACGCCTTTGAAGATTGGAGAGCAGACAATCAGGATTTTAAAAGATGTACCATTTGAAATTCGTATGAAGCGGAAGGCTTATAAAGGATTGACCATATTCTTGCAAAATCATCAAATTAACTATAGATGGTTGATTCCAGAAGGACTTATCTTTAAATTTAAGGATAAAAGAGAGAAGATTGACTCCATTTTCAAAGCTCAAGAATTTTTGAAGAGACACGCCAGCTCAGAGGAAGAAGCAGAACTCGCTAAATGGGAGGTACTTAGCAATGACGAGGACAGCGGCTCAGAGAAGGGAGACAAGGAACCAGAAGATGAAGGAGCAGCGAAGGAATCATTTTACTATCTGAGAGATGTAAAAGGAAGACAACCCAGAACATGAAGACTGGTTAGGAAAGCGTACTGAAAGACAATATTAACAATAAACCAAAAGGACATTACTAATATACTTAACATTTTTATTTTTTACAGGACAAGATGAAAGATGATCGGTCAAACACAGAAGAAGCCAAAGAAGCTATATGTACTAACAAAAGATTAATATACTAATATGAACATCACTCACTCTATTCTTAATCCCACTATATACCCTCCCTTTTTCTGAAAATTAAAAGCAATAAAATTCTCTCCTTTTTAGGAGAGTTCTATTAAAGAGTTGCCTATATCAATAATGTTCAAACATTTCCGGTAGTCCTATCCATTCCACTTATGGTAACTCTCAAATACATAGGTGTGTCAAATTTCTAACATTTCAGAATCACTATTTGAGACCTCTTCTGATTTGATTCTACTCCAGTAGCTTATAATTAAACATTATCTCTGAACAAAGAGAGTCTGAGGGTGTGTTTTCCCTCTTTTCAGTAGTTTACAGACTATTTTCTTCATAATCATCAAACACAGAAGGCACAAACTTCAAGGAATAGCACCTTTAAGACGAATAAACTTTATTGTAGCATAAGCTTTCGAGAAACACAGTTCTCTTCGTCAGATGCATGAAGAGAGCTGTGTTTCTCATAAGCTTATGCTACAATAAAGTTTTAGTCTTAAAGGTGCTACTAGGCTTTTTACTATTTTGCAGCAACAGACTAACATGGCTAACTCCTCTGGATCTATAAACTTCAAGGAGTTTTTTTAGGAGCTTTTCTCTGGCTGTATGGGGTCAGATGGCATGGAGGTTCCCAAAAATAAATCCTGCATTTAGAGCCAACAGCAAAATTGCTAGTCAATAAAAACCCTTCTTAGAGGTATCTTAGCCAGATTCTGCAAAATTTTGACATATTCAGAAAGAATCCTGATTTGAAAACTGATGGGAGCAGATACAGAAGTTTTCCCTGAAAAGCACGATTAACCTTGGTGCTACTCTCTCTAAGCTGCACAGAAGTGGCTGGAGGGGGAGAGCTGTCCTAGATTCTAATCTGCACATATATATGCCATATGCTATTCTGTTAGTTGTATCAGCATGAAACTTCCTGGGAGAGGTAGTAGAAAACTATGGGGCCCAAAGCTTAATAACGTAAGAACATAAGAGAAGCCAGTGTTGGATCAGGCCAATGGCCCATCTAGTCCAACACTCTGG